CTTTGTTTTTTAACAGTGCGTGAATCTTGCGCAACAGGCGACGAAGAGTGGTGGGTGAAATGTGCTCGTGTGTGGTTGTGGATTTTGTGTACGACGTAGGATTACCCAGAAAGGTGGGTCAATATCGATAAATGTGCGGGTAAGAAGCACGTGACCTGTCAAGCCCATTAATCCTCATTATTTTATCGTGCGAACTGACATTGTCACGTATCGCGTTCGATTTGGGTTCCAACATCGGTAGCCTAACTTTTGTTGCATTAAAACTGCAATAAACGTTTGTTTGAAAACGATCACTCCAAAGAGCACGTCGGTATTGGGCTTTCTCATTGAAAGGTAGGTCGCGGGTGTCCCAGCTAGTTGTTCTGAATGGTTTGGTGGTTGTCTAGCATTTCAAGCGCTCGAGGCTGTGTGTACTGTGTGCCGTACGTACACTTGCGCTTTCGATCGATCAATGTGAATGTGTTCGCAACGCGGAACGTTTTTGTTCTATGTGTATCCACCTCCAATATCGTTCTCTCTCGTATTGCCGTATGGTAACTCCTGCTGTTCTACGATATCATTCACGCGATGTCTTATATATGGGCGTACCGATATCCACATGTTGCTTCACGGGCGATCAATACTGGGTTACGTATCCTCTTAGTCCGCGGTATATGCCGACGTAATTCATGTTGGTAACTTGGAATTCGGCCTGAGATTTATCCACGCGATATTGTATTCTCCTTTGGGCCCGTGATCGACGACCGATATTTATATATCGTGTGGCCGCACAGTATGTCCATGTCGGTCACCAATATGCACGCGGTGTCGTATTCTATTCCAATAACCGTAAGTTCTGTCGGGATATTGTGCTTCGATACCGTGCTGTATACCAATAACCGCAAGTTATATCGGGATATTGTGCTCCAATATCCTGTTTTATACCAATAACCGTATACTATATCGCGATATTGTGCTCCGATATGAATTCCCGTCGTGCGTATTGGGTTAATCGGATAACAATAAGTTTTTTTTGGTTTTCATCAACTTCATTGGAATAGAATATTTCCAATAAGCCGAGTTCATATTGGCCTTTTTCAATAGGGTAGGTTTGGAACTACCACTTGTGAATCTAATGAAAATCGCAACTCTTAAAATCATTGGCACTTAGATACGTTATTTAAGCTCTGATAGCTCTAATAACAAACAGCGGCTGGCACTGCTTCATATAACGTCTGTGATGTGATGGGACGTGCCGTGTTATACGTGTTAATTGAATATGCCATGAAATCCAGCAAGCGAGAGCCACGTTCCCTCCCGAAATTAATATGGTAGCTTTAACGTTGCTCTGGAGGCTAGTTCCTTGTTGTATTCACGTCTTTTCGGCAGCGTACAATTATGCACCGCGCGCTGTTCTCCCTTGGAGATCATTATATTGTCAAGTAGCACAGACATAACTGAAGGAAGAGACGGGCATAAACATAATCTTACGCATACAGTTTAGTGGCGACTAAGACATTGTTAAGAACGACAAATCAAAAGAGAAATACACGAGGAAAGGGGAGCATGTTCGAAGCATCTACAAATGTTGACCGGGACTTTTGCTTATAAGAAACCTGAATAAGTGCAGTATAATCAATCTCGCGGAGAACGTTAATGCAATTCTTCTTGATTATCCTGCAACTGGAATGTCATATTTGAAGCATGTGCAAGGTTTTCTGCTATCATGGCGGCGAGAATTCTGTCTGTACCTGCGGAACAGTGGTGCGTACTCATATTTAGGGGCAAGGATAAAGGTAAACCATCTGGAAGTGTAGCAAGCGCATTACGGGGAACATTCTCTATCCCGGTAAAGAATGTACAAATGCTGTCAACAGTTTGGAGAAGGACGACAGCTGCTGAAAAATGAATGCCACAGACACGTTCGTTCGTCTGCTGTCAGGCATTCTAGTTCTTTCTACGGCTAGGTAATCAGGGTGCTGCTAAAACGAAGGCGGCGAGGTCTGGATGGGCATGCAGGAGTTTCTAAAATTAGATAGTTTTGTACCTTTGTAAAAATATTGATTCCCAGTCAACCTCGAACGACCTTTGTGGATGTACGAACGCGCCCCTTGAATGCGAACCTTCAAAGAGCGCAACTTCTACAAGCCAACCGATGGGCAATATCTCCTTAAACTCGAGATTGCATAGGTTCCAATGATGAAGGATATTTGATAACGGTTTTTATTAGCTGCTATATAATCATACTGACAAAAGGTAGGTCCGCAGGTGTCGCAGGCTCTACCGGGGGCAAATCAAGGCTGTGAATTATGAGCCTTTTCCTTTACAAATGTCTTCCCTTATTTATGGATACTATTGTCTACCCAGCGATTTTTTTACCAGATGTACTAAGCACCGGATCTTTTTGTTCCGAGGTAAAGAATACCCCAAAGCCCGCGAGCTCAACCCTGTGCTAAGAGACGTCTCGCTTTCGTCGACTGTATCTCCGTACCGTGAGTAATATTGAGGGTTACTTTCCGCTTCTCAGATGAAAAATAAAGCTAACGTGTCTAAAGAATCGCATTGAGCCTTGCTTTAACGCCTTCAATAGAATCGGTATCAATATCTTCAATTCAGGCGTTTACATCTTCTTCGACTAATACTTGATTATTTATTATGTATTCTAAACAAGACATTTGTTGTGAGTTTTGTGTAAGTTATTTTGTGTATACTGTTTTTACCTCTCATTCAGTTTTGCTGCTATTTCCTTTTGTGAATCATTTGACGGTCGTCGCCGTAGATTTACTGCGTCAATCACATAATTCAATGAGCCCAGCTAACCGCAAAATGAGCAAACCAACGGGGGTGTGGCTATCTGTTACGTCTTCGGTGATCTATAAATGTTATTATTCACACGGTGTGTCGCTTTGCTAGTATATTTATGTTTTTTTTTATATTAGACGCTCCGTGCAGTGATGATCCCTTCATATACCGGCCACTTTGGCGGTAGGGACAATAGAAGCACTGACTCTTTCGATGCAGATTGATAATGCGTTTAGGAATTAAAGTCAGAGGCTGAGGATTCATCATTCAACGGAGACGCTCTGTAACGTGTACCTGCGTTTAGAAATCTGAAGCCTCTGGAATGTCGCTGAAGCGGATGTACCAAATTCAAATCAAATGGAAGAAAATAAGTGACAACTTTTGGCCTTCAATATTTTAATTTGATCCTTCTAAACCTTAACTGGGTGCTAGCACTCTATGTGTTGCCGCTAAATTATTAGAGAAAAGCCGGTGCATTTAGCTTTCTTTATATTATTTGTTTGAGAAACAAAGCACGACACTGGGAAACGACTTTTCGAGAAAACAACAATTAGCTAGACCGTCAATGGGTTAATTACACAGTTATTCCTGGTTTCATAACTGAAAAAGAATTTTGTTTAACAATAAAATGAATGAACATCAACATATCCAATTCTCTTTTAGTCGAGCATAATCAGGGCAATTTCGCTGCTGATGAGCATATAAAATAAACCGACAATGATGATGATGATGGCGCTATGACTGTTGTAAACCTCAAAAACTTCGTCATGGCAAAAAAAAAAAAATTAAGACCAGCTTCTCGGTAGGATGATTAAGGAACAAACTATTAATTAACAGCATCCCCAATATTAGCCAAATGACACCAACTGATATCTTCACATTTTCAGTGATATCAAAAGCCCCCACTGCCGTTCTAATGCCTTCTGCCGATTACAATGCACCCCCTATCGAAAGTAGTCAAGTTGTCTGCATGATGTAGCAATTGTCGTTAGCTCCACATGTTATGATTCTTGGATCATTTGGTAAACCCTGGTTACACCTACTAACACAAAAGTTTTTGTTTTACATTTTTAAGACCTAGAGTAATTAGTAAGTAGTCAAATAACCTGTGTTTTCTATATTCATCAAGGCGATTTTTTGCCGTAAACTCTCTAGTTTACAGCCGGCATGCCCATTTATGAAACAAATTTCATCAAAACGACTTTGAATAAATAATAAAGATTAAAACGATTACGAGCATATTTGGTCAGAAGTAGCGTTCACTCGTAGTTGTGTGGCTTTTAAGTTGATACGGGTACATATCTAAATTTATGTGTAAAATTCAATTACGTGAAAGATTTACTAAAAGGTGCACAATATACACAAAAACGTTATCAGTTTATCGGAAGTGATGCATTAAAAATAATGTGCATTGCTTACCAAGTATATACTGAGAACGAGAACGATGTTTTGTTTAATGGGACCTTTATACTAGAAGCGGCCGAAGATCTGCTCCAGGACTTCGTGGAGCTGAATAAATCAGCCCGTGCAGTGGAAGACGCTTGCTTAGGGTCCAAGTCGCGGCTGAATTGGGTTCACCGTACCCTTTTTGACTGCCTAGATACTTACGCGTGTCGCTACCCATTCGCATTACGATAGGCAGCTGCCGAAAGTGCAATGTTCACCGTCCACCTGTAATTTTGACCATGAACAAGCGGCTTGCCCTGCGCGAGGCTTTTCCACTGTGCGCTACGTTGTGACGTAGCTTTTCTGCTGCGAACAGGACTGTGCTCCCACGAGTTGAGACATGATTCGCGTGTTGTGTTTATGTTTGGTCTGCACTAGGGTTGTGCCAATAACGGTGCGAATCAAAACGCTCCGCGTAATTCACAGCATTCTTTGTGAAAGAGGAATCCACGAAATATTCCGGTTTTCTTGGCAGTGTTGACGCTAGAGAAATCTGCGTTCTTTAATTTGAAACGCCATTCGTGCACTCTTAATATGGACTGCACTACCTTCAGCCTGTATTTTACACTGATAATTGGCATCGTTTGAGCACTAATTAAGGCATCACGCTCAATGAGAAGCGGCTGCCTTTAGGTTTGTTGCACGGGAGCTCCCTTTCAATTACTAACAAACTCACATCCTCATACTCGTTTACGGCAATGGGTTGCAGTTACACTCCTGTATCATCTTCCAAACGCACCTTCCCTTTCTTTTTTCGTTTGTTTTGTACACAGTGGACAGGAGAGAAGGCGTAGCCAAGAGCCCCTCTCCAAACTCAATCAAGAGTAGGATGAGCCAGCGACTACTGAGCAACGCCGACCAGGGGTCGCTGGGTGCGGTCAAGAGGATGTCCATTCCAGAGTACCAGGACCCAGCCAAGCGGACGCCCGAGGACAAGACAGGCAGCCAGCGAAAACTCAACGGAAGCTGTCCGATCCGCTGGGAGTGCCACGATGCCGACTCGGACGGCGGTGCACCAGCCGATACGAGCGAAGAGAACCTTCTGGAAGGGGTCATCCAGAAAGAGACATGCCTCTAAGGTTAAGACCTTTGTCGAGGCTTTCACGGACCGTGTACAGTGATCCCCAGAGAACTGACTGAACCACCCCACTGCCCCCTTGTTGATGAAAACGTCGAATTGGCCTGCGTTCAGTGATCTCGGTAACCACGTCGGGACAATCATGACCGCAAAGTGATTGTGGAGAACTGTGACCAACCATCAATGTCAGTCAAATTGGCTGTGTTATAAAGTGGGGTTGGGAACCGGTTGAACCAGCTCGACTTCTGAGAAAACGAAAAGTCATCCCCTCGATATGAGTAGGCAAGAATGTCATGTTAGACTGTTGCCGTTTGCAGAATTATGCTGGAAATATTTTGCCTAAAGAGTTGATCGTATATTAATTCATCTGAGAGCATTTTCACCGCCAACCCAGTGCTAATTCGCTTTTAAGAAAGGTGAACGGCCTGGTAAAAACCAACCACCTCTGAACTTTTAAAGTTGACAAAGGTGAATGTGGATTGTTGTGAAAATAAGGGTACTGTGCACGATGATTTAGCAGAAAGACAGTCCAATTTCTCAGGCTGTTTATCTGTGGTGAGAAAGTTCTCACCGCATCTTTCTCCAAACATCAAGGGGGCAATGCTTGAATACCATCAATTGTTGTCACCACACAGTTTTAAGCTCAAACTTGAGTGAAATTGAGTACACATAATCGTCAATATTTTATAAAGTGTGCCGTTCCATTACATGAAGTTAATATTTTCGCTGACGTTTCTTAATTTTCAAAAACGTCGCCAGCTTAATCATTAACTGGCGATTTCCTACACAGGGCAGTGGTAAATCATTTTATTTCTCTATTCGTTTATTTCACGTACCAGTGTCAACCAATTCAAAGCAATGGGCGTCCGTGTTCTCGAAAGCGTCAATCGCCAAATAATATTAGTCACTGGTACCTATTACTAAATTTTAATTGCGTTAGAAAGGTCTTTCTAAAAGTTATAATGTTCATGTTTGTTAGTTGTTAGACACGTGCAAAATGCATTTTAAACCGGGCTAACAACACCCAGCCCTTGACATCACATTACGCCACCGTAAAAACAATAATGTGAGAAAAACAAAAAACCACCAGTGGCCGCCTCAATTTCAAGATTATACATCACCCTATTCCTTTAAACAAAGAAAAAATGAGCAGAAATCTAAAACGAATATTGGCAAGTTGGGCTACAGAAACCATCACTTCAACAAACATACACTTGGTTTTGGAAATAAAAAATATACCGACGGAATTTTTATTTATTAGTGACCAGTTTTTTTGAGTGTCTGGAAACGAAATGAAAGACGTACGTGATAAAGATGACCTACGTCTGGTTGCATAGAGTCCAGAGACAAGCTAAATTGTAAGATGTTGCTGTACGTATTTAATAAAGGTAGTTGCTTGGTCATTTTTAAGGCTGTTGGCAACAACATTTGTGTCTGGTTGACGAAAGGACATTTGAAAACATAGAAATCTACAATTAAAATTGAATAGTCTAAAATTGTCATTTCTTGCGCGGAAGTGGGTTCTTGGAAAATACGAGTCATCTACTAAAACCTACATTCTATACCACATCGAAACATCTTAGAAAGCTGTACAAAACGTTTTTGGGCAAACAAGTGTGATCCAACAAGGTCATTTAAAATTAATCTTATGTGGCTCCAGGAGCAGCATCACGTTGTACTGTAAACTTCTACCATAGGAAGCGTCTTGAGGTCAGTATACAAATAATTCTACAATAATAGTTTATTTTAGGAAAATTTGATGTCTTTGTCAGCATTTTGGCCTTTTCTAAAAATATCTGCACAGGTAGACACAGACTCACCTCTGAACTTACAGGGTATCGCGTATTATATTTTCTTTACTGTTGTCAAGAAAGTGTTTTTCTGTGCACACCAGACTATAGCCGTCACCTATATAAATATATATGACGGCTATAACCATAGTAGTCATATAAATAACTCATGTAAAGGGTGGAAAATCCGTAAAACTTTTCAAATTGTGCATCGCCCCAGTTGCCTCACAAAATGTCACTGTTCGACGAAGTGTGCAAGTTATTAGCTGGAGCATGTGTGACGGGAGTTTTGTTCTTTATTACTATCGGCTGGAACTTATCTGATGACACTATGTACGCGACTGCAAGATTGGTGTCAAGCTTGTCTAGTTACAAAAAAAAAAAAAACAACCTTAGAATAATGTGTGGAGGTATAAATAAAAATTGCCAGCTCTATTCTTAGGAGCTTCTTGTTCACGTTATATAAGTTCGAGACCAATGGCAGATATAATTAAAAGCTTCCTGGGATGTACACTGTCGGAGTACCAAGGTAAGATTGCAATTGACAATTAAACTTTTGTGATCTACATCATAATCAAACACAACCAAGTGCCGTAATAGGTACATTTTAGAAGCGAACATCAGCATTTTTGCATAACATCGTATTAAATCAGTTCGTTCTTACTAGTCTTCCAAAAATAAAGTTTTAGAATCATCATTTCTTGTTTTATATGTGCTGAAATTAGCCAGCTATTTTAAAGTTTCTGGATTGTAGAGGCGTCATAGAACGATCAGTCACATAAGTAATACCCTAAATATGCTTATGCAATAGTATGTTAGTGATGCCTGTAATTTGGCATGTGGGGACTAAGTTGTTCTTTGAAGGATTTAGATGTCGGTGAAATGCACTGCAAGATTAAATTTCCGCAATGTCTCTGTCAACATTCTTATTGTTATTGAAATAAAAAAATAATAATACGCGAACCTTTGAGGAAAAAAAAAAGACTGCTTGTTTTTTACTTTATCTCCAGAGACAGTGCTCGAAGCCCTTGTCGTCATCGCTGGATAGTACGAAGTCATTGCCTTTTTTAACTTCAACATAGCAACGAGATGTACATCTAATGTTTTAGCGAAGGTAAGGAATCCCTCTTTTTTAAGCCGTGTGCTTTAAAGTACATTCTACGGCTCTCACATGCGGTTCAGTTATTTATTTATTTGTTTAAAGAAAACCTCAAGGCCATCTGCGTTACAGAGGGGAGTGGGGGTTAGTGGCAGTAGTACACTTTGTAGCTCAATGTGAGCAGTATAAAATAGTTATGGCTGTTGTAAATAAGTGGTCAGGAACAATTGTTGCGATAGATGGGGGAAGGTGGTTCCAATCCACTGAAGTTTTTGGAATGAATGACTCTCGGAGTGTATTATTGTAACACTTTAGAATGTCTACTTTACATATATGATCAATGCGCGACAAAATATAAGACCAATGATTCAGCACTCGGTTGGGAAGTAATGAGTTAGTATGGATGGTATATTTTATGAAAGAGACATACGCGAGCTATTTTGCGACGTAAAGTGAGGTTACGCAACGATAGGCTCGTTTTCATGGAGCTCACGCTTGCGGTGCGATAGAAGTTAAAGGGGCCCACCAACAATTGTTTGACCGGTTTGAAGTTCGAGCTGAAACGGAGCTCCATGAAAGCAGAAACACAGAGGAAAAAAATATTACAGAAATTCGCAATATTTTGCGAGTTATTAGCAAATTAAATATTGCAGAAAACAACTTTAAATAAGCAAAACATTGCGCTTCTTGACGTAAAATGAAACAGTTCAGAGATTGGAGCAAGGCGGTCGGCCAATTGGACGCGAGTTTGGTTGATAGCCCGTCGGCCCGGTCGGCTCTCGGCCATTAGGCCTAGTTGCAACCATCGTAGCTTTGGGATCGGGTTGCCATCATCGATGAATTTACCGGGCTTATCGGATTTTTAGCGCGGATCTGGGCGTCGCGCCGTACGAGGACACTCCACGCAAGCGCCGCGTCTCTGCCTCAATCCGCTTCGACCAGCCGCGGAAGACTCGTCTCCCGCAACTCCGCCACCTCGGCGAGTAGGAGGTACAAACTGGGGAGCGTTCCCTTTGGGCACGATATAAGCTGGGTCCCGTCGCCGCACTTCACTCGAACAGTGAAAAGTCTGTCACAGCACTAAAAGAAAATAAGGGTTCCCCTGGCTCCTCTTACTGCTTTTAGTTGACCGGGACCGGGGGCGCACAAGTGAATATACGATGCGCGTTGTGTGCACGGATCACTTGTCGTCTGCTCGCGATGGTAGGTCGCGGACGCCGCTGGGAGGCGCGCATGAGCGACAAGGCGTTGTTTTCGCCCTTTTTGAACTTTACTTTGCAACTTTATTAGCTCTGAAAAAAATGACTGGTTTGAAAAATGATGACGATTAACGTGTGATATACTTTATTTCGCTTCAAAATTCCTGGGACGGCTCTCGCCAATCACGAAACCCAAAGAATGTGACGTATAGTGAAAGGGCGCGCATTCGGCACCTCGCGGCGCCACCGTCGGAGGAGGTGTTTCCGAGTTGTCAAATTAAAATATGATGCGCTAATATTTTCAAACTCTCTCGTTGTCCACTGTGTTCCCGGTACCACTAGCGTGTAGAAACCGCAAAAAAAAGTCGACGCTCAAATACTGTTGGAGGGCCCCTTTAAGAATAAAACGAGCAGGGCGATTCTGAACTGATTCTAGGGCGTTCGTTTGGAATGAATGGGGTCCCAGATAGAAGAAGCATATTGTAATTTAGAGCGTACACGCGTTTTGTAGAGGGTTAGTTCCTGGGATGAAGGGGCAAGTGAAAACGTTCGTTTTAGATAACCGAGCATTCGATTAGCCTTATTAATAACATGCTCAACATGCATTTGCCAGGAAATGTCTGAGGTTATATACGCACCTATGTATTTATAAGAGACACAAAGTAAGGGAACATTTTCGAGAAACTAAGAAGGAACATTGCATCTACGTGATCCTCGCATGGCCTTGCATTTAGTTGTGTTAAATTAAATTTCCCATACTTCACAGCACTTTAAAACATGGTTAATGTCAGCTTCTAAATTCAGAATATCCGGGGCGTTAGTAACCTCTGTGTAAATAACAAATCATCAGTGAATAAACTAATAGAAGAAGATACCAAATTTGGCAAATTGTTAATATAGATAAGGAACAATAGCGGACCTAATACAGAGTCTTGTGGTACTCCAGAATTGACGGAGGTGAGTGGTGATGTATCATGGTTAGCGGTAAAAAACTGGGAACGATTAGTGAGTAAGCAAGTTATCAAGAACAGAACATTTGCGTCGATGTTAAGACTTAAGTTTTAATAGCAGCAGCTTGTGTGAAACTTTATTAAATGCTTTGGAAAAGTTAAAAAAAAAGCAGTCTACCTGGGACCCTCGGTCGAGCGCTAGGTGCAAATCATGGGTGAATGACAAAAGTTGCACTTCGCAAGAGAAGGATTTACGAAAGCTATGCTGAGCGGTGCTGAAGAAAAGGTTAGATTCTAAAAATTGAACTAGTTGTGAGTAGATGATATGTTCTAGTATCTTGCATGGGACGCTAGTAAGCGAAATTGTTCGATAGTTACCCGGGCAATATGTGTCACCTCCTTTGTGCAGTGGCACCTACCTTCCCTATCTTCAAATCAGCAGGTAACTCTCCAATTAATAGCGACTGGCAAAAAATTGACGATAATATCAAAGAGCAATACATTCGTGTGTGTTTTAGGAACTTTGAGTAAATGCTGTCAGTGCCAGCAGGGGAAGAAAGTTATAAGCTATTGATTATTTTACCAATACCAATCGGATCGAAAAGAACGGGCCCGATAGGCAAAAGATCACTCGCGTGAAATCTACAAGTAGTAACAGTTTGAAAGGACTTAATAAAAACATACTTCAAAACGCCAGCACATTCATCGCTTGAAATGATATCTCCGTTCGCGGCCTTGAGTGAAAACACCAATTTTTTTTTTTTACTAAAACATTCCAAAATTATTTTAGGTTCGTGGCTAACATAGGTGGTAGCTTAACATTAAAATACTCGTATTTCGCACAGTGAATACCACTTTTGTAAGCTACATTGGCGTTGTGGTAAGACTACTACCGCTTACAGGTACTGGAAGATTTAGCGTCACGAACCAATCTCTTTTTCTTGTTCGAAAGCCTTCTGAGTGATAGGTTATGCCATGGTAATTGAGAGTGAGACCGCACAGATCGCAGTGGAATGTACTTGTCGGTGAGGACGGCGACCTGACCCTTATAGATATTCCAGTTTTGCTCAACGAAGCGCTCTGAGCAGTTAACAAAATAGTGATCTACGAGCTGATTCAGGGCATCGTTTATAGCGTCCGAATTAGCTTTTTGGTAGTCTCGAATAAGTTTTATTTTTTTTTTTAACTATTAGACTTTGGTATGCTTATGAAGAAGTAACGAGCAGTGATCACTTAGTCCTGGTAAGTGAAATATTAAGGTTACAAGGTTAGGTGTGGAGGTTAGAACAAGTTCAAGAACAGTTGCTGGCGCGGCAACAATTCTTGTGGGTTCTGTAACTAGCTGCGACAAGTTAAAATTGCAACACATGTTCAAGAAATCAAAACACTCTGACGAAAGTGAATTAGTAAACGGGCTCTCGTGCGGAGCCAAGTTCCGCTCCGTGGGACCCGCTCCGAATCGACGAGGGGAAGATAAACTCGCATTTTTGGAGCGACCTCCCCCACACCCCTCCCCACCACTTCCCCCATCACCGTTCAAAATGGCCGCTGCTCGAACTTGACAAGCCCACCAAAACCTCAGCCGACTGATCTTTCCGACGGCCAGTGACAACTGTCACTGCTAAGCTGCGCAAATAATACGAGACACAGGCCGGGCGAAATTATACGTTCTATGGCGGCCATGTCACAAATAACGAAGACGTCCGCGTTCGGCAATGTCACATACCTTCCCGCCGTCTCGAAGCGGCAGGGCATGGACAGCGATGGCCAGCGGTGGAGTTCAGATTTCTCGTGTGTCATTCCATTTCAAACGTTCCAGACGTTGCGCTCGACCCCTTCCGATTTCTAAAAAAAAAAAAAAAAAAATTCATGGTTTTTTGCCGCAATGTCCGTGGCCATGCCCTGAAATATTTCTGGCGAAAAAACGTTTTTTGATTACGTGAGCGTGGTTTAAACGTTTAAAAACAGCGTGAAACTAGGCATCACTCAATCATTGGTGAAAATCAGATTTTTAATGCAACACCTAACAATATTTTCTTTCTTTAACTTGAACGGCTTTCGAATTACAATTTGGTTGGGATTGTCAAGTTTAGTTTAATTTCAATATTAAAAAAAAACTAATTTTTTTTTAGAATTTTAGCA